CCCCCCGCTACCCTTCTCCCAGCTCCAAACGTCTGCGATAACCGCCGCGCCGCCGCCACCCGCGGTTGTCTCCCTGTCCCGCGCCGACTCCTCGCTGCCAGTGGAATAAACATCATCAACAAGTTTATTCGGAGCGACTTTTTATGAGAATGGGGCCGGGGCGGCGGCGCGCCGAGCCGAGCCCTCGGAAATGAGAGCCACGCTTATCAGTCCAGACCGTCGCCAAATTCGCTCTTCTTTTACGGCGGTAAGGACCGCCAAATTACGTTAACGTCGCCCAGACTTTTATGCATCAATGATATAAGATTTTGAAGGGAGGGAAGAGCCAGCCCCACCTCGACACCAGGCATCGCGGGGTGGTGGTAGTGGTGGTGGTGGTGGTGGTGGTGGTGGTGGTGCCTTTCATCTCATTCTCCGCGAGAATTAACATTTCTTTCGCATTTCCACTGGAACGGAAAAGAAAAAGAGAAGACGAGACCGAGAGAATTTCAGAAAATTATAGATGAAAACAGTGGACTTGAGCAGGATTTTAAAATACAAATTAATATATCTTTGTACCTTCATGGTGAATATTTTCATTTGTGGCATGTTTCATAATTACAAAAGATTTCATAAAAATTAAATAAATAACATGAACTAAATACTAGTACAAAATCAAAAATATTTAATTGATCTTTTCTCCCACCATATTGTAGTTTTCAATATGATAATCACATATGTACCAGATTCATTGATTCTCAAGGCAGTGACAAATTAAGATAATCTCATGTTGCGTTTTAATTTGGATCACATATGAACATTATGTTCTTAACACACACTTTTATAGCCTCAACACTCAACCAAAACCACTTACACATGATAAATAGATTATACTCAACAAGAGGTAAGAAACATTGAACGTATCATATTATTGTAAAAGATTTGTAGTTATCACATCTACAAAGAGCCATGAACGCAATTTAATATTTACACATATGTATAAATCAAGTCTAATCAGAGTGAACTAATGATAAAATATGAGCAATGGAATTTGACTGGTAATTAATTGATTGAATGGATGATTGGGACTGATGGGAGAGTCTAGTCAGTAATGCCAAGCCAAAAACCCTGCTGGCTCAGGCGACTCAGGCCTCCCCTAGCTTAGTCAACAACAAATACTATGATTGTCAAATTAAAAAAGAAAAAGAAACTTGGATGATGATCAGAAAATGTCAGCAAAAACTAAGTCATATGCAAGACACATAGGAAGCAAAGAGGTGAAAAATCTCAGCAACGCCGTATTTTTGAAGGTGGGGGCATGAGATCATTGTCATCTGCCCGCCATCGATACCGATCAATGTACTCCAGGAGGTAATCTTGAGTTACTGGATCACGTATACTGTTGAAGACAGCTGGAAAGGAAAAAAATTAAGCTGAAATGTGAATTGCAACAAGCATGAGTATATATCTAACAATAGCAGATAGATGATGCCTACCCATAGCTGTATTGTAGCTGTTTGGAAATGATTTATCTGTTCTTTCTCTCATGAATTCCCACTGGCCGTTATTAAACTTGCACTCCACAATTTTGTTGTTCATGTCTTTCAGATCTTTTGTGTATTTCATGGTGCCAAATGGATGGTCCATGCCTCCACAGTACAGTTGGAAAATTTTCCTAGGAAGTATCCTGGAGGATAAATAAATACATAGGTAGAATAAAGCAAATGTTTCTTCTTAACAAAAATTCATTTTAACTTTAAATCTGTAAGATGTTTTACTTACCCAGGCCCACTTTCTGTTACAATTTTTGCTTTAAAATCTACTGAGTTATGGCTGAGAGGTTTCCATTTTAAGCTCTCAATGCATTGACCAGGAACATAAGGCTAAATATTAACAATTAAAGATGATGTGAAAATTAAGAATAAAAATATACCTGATCAGAAAACTTTCTCCTAATTTATAAGCAATGCACACTCACATCACTACTTGGCTGGAAGATCAATCCATCAGGATCATGTGAAAGTTTCTTTGCAAATTTTTCACTTAACAAATAAGCTGTTGTTGTCAGTTCCCAAAATTCTTTCACCCTAACACTGAAAGGTTCAATGGTTTTGTTGAGCCAACCTTTACCTATTGCATGGTTCCTAGTGTCTACAATTTCTTCCTGTTAAATGAAATTAAAATTGTTAGATGTGTACTTCAAATACCTGAACAAAAACCATGTTGAACAAGACTTACCCTAATGCAACGATATCTGACAGGGTAGAACGGTTGTTGTGATAAATCTTGACCATTCAATCTAATTATATCATAGACTAAATATCGGGGAATGCTCTCACCTGTTTCTGTCTTATCTATGACCATTTCCTGCAATAAATTTTCCTTTTTTGAATTATAATTCTTACATTTTCCTAGGAAACTTGTTAGAAAGGCGTTACTTACCCCATCCAGTAAAGTGTTTTCTATATGTCTTTGAGGGTCTTTTCTCATAGGAAAACGAAGATTTTCTACTTGGAATACAGAATTGTCTCTGTCTAAGAAAAATATCTCATTCTTTCTTAAAATAAGCATCATGTACCTAAGAGGGAGAAAATGTTCAGTTAAACAAATTAAGTGAAACAGACTTTCAAATTAACCACCTTGATAATAAAAAGAAGTGTGAACCTGGTTCCATCTGCTTTCCATGATACCCTGTAAGGTTTATCACCCAAAAATGCAATATTTTTCATGTCCATAGAGACTGGTTGTGAACCTGGAAAACCACTTCTGCAAAGAAAGAAAAGAAGTTTAAAATAATCAATGTGGAAAAGGATTTATCTGGTAATTTTGTGTTTCAATGAGGAGCAACTTCTGTGCTACTTATTAGACTCTCACTACTCCATATGTATTAAACTCATTTCATCGTTGAGACAATATAATGAACTAAATAAAACATTTAGAGATTATAAAGTCCCCTGTGAGCTAATAGCAGTGTTCACGATCACTGTTCACTTGAATTGGCTGTGACTAGGAAATAGTAGAAGAATGAAAATAACTTACTTTTTCCATCCACACATTTCTTGAGCTCGTTTTTGAACATCAGTCATTTTAGGATCATGAACAACAGTAACCCCAGGGACTCCCTGCATGAACACAGGATTTTTCTTGTTCTTTCCTCGACGCTTGTTTCCAGTGCTGGTGCTGAATTCAACAAAGCAGAGTGAATTAGGGTGTATTTTAACAAAACCTATATGAAAAAATTAAGAATTTGCTCTGAATACCTTCCATTGGAGCTTTCAGAATCCTCCCCATTATCATTGTCATCTTGTTCACCATTTCCATCACCATCATCATATTCTACAGCAATAAGAGAGGATATTGTTGTAGAACCCAACATTTAAGAGCAAAGTAATGCATCAAGAAAAGTCTCAATAAGTTTACCTCTACACCAGTCTGGTCTCTCGGGTGCTAATGGCATGTCATTCACATCATCATAACGACGGTATAACTCTTCAATATAATCCACTTTGTAAATGCCTGGTGGTCTGGAATTAAGAAGTAGATTTGAAGGTAAATTCCACAAATGTAAAGCTACGTTCTATGAAACAGGTTTAGTTATTGTGCCTTACCTCACACCAGCAAACTCTCTCAATGCAGCATCAACAGAATAGTCCATCTTTTCTACCATGTAGGATATGACCAAGAAACCAGTTCTGTTGAATCCATGAGTACAGTGCACTCCTGTAAATTATCAACAAGATAAAATTCACTTTTGATGAGAAAAAGATCAACCCAAAGGTCATTTTTTCTTATTTTAGAAATTATGAAAATACCTACCAATGCATTCTAAGGGATTAGTTCTTATGAATTTGTCACAAAGGTCTACAAACGTTTTAGTCTGGTCTGCATTAGGAGTTTCACCATGTCCTCTGCATTGTAATTTTACATATTTGGCCCCCATACTCTCTACATCTTCTTTGCGATAAAATCTTGAGGTGTTTGTAAGATCAATCCACAGGCCCAATTTCACCTGCAAAATTAACATGGTGGAAATAATATAAATATATAATTTATTTTAAAAGAATTAGTGATAAGAAAATCACATTATTTTTAAACTACATTACCTTGTAACTATCCATGACAGAAAAGAGCATAGATGGGTAAAAGAAATGTTGTGGAGGTATTTGACTGTTGTAACGCTTGTCCAGAGGAGTTTTAAAGGCAAGAAATTTACCAGCAATCATGTGGTTTGCCTTGCGAGGGCAAAGAAGCCATCGGTCAGGTATATTTCCAGGCCCTCTATTGTCATCCATGGCGAGATGGTTTGATTGGACAAACTTTATATATTCATTCCTAGGGGGGGAAATAAAAAAAATGACAACACTTACACCACATTTGGCCAAAAGGCAATCTCTTTATAAAACCCAAGAGCAGTTTTGAGAAAACATAAAGTCAAAAATTTAGAAAGAAGTGAAGTTTACAACTTTTAACATTGTTATCTCACAATGAAAGCTACATGAATATGTACATGAAACATAAACTTGGTGTGTTGTCCTTTTGACAGTTAAGGTTATGTCCATAGAAGGCCCAAGTGAGACTTTTTGAGACTCTTCAAAACTTGGAAGGTAATCTGATAAATTTTAGAAGCTTCACTGCGTTACTAATTTGATATATTTATATACTCGTATAGTTTAGGTACATAGAATACAGAATATATACCCCTCTTCACGACAGGTTATGTGCTTTCACCTCTAGTCATGGTGTCATGATCAAGTAGGAGAAAAACAGTTCCACAAATAGATTTTGATCGAGGAGCTTCTTTATTTAGTGAAATGTGGGAAAAGTCACTGATTAAACTTTTCTCGAAACCCAACTGGAAAGATAATTGGACAAGCACAATAAAAATTCAACAACTATACCTCCTGTTTAGGATGCAAGCTGTCTGTCCCTGTCTGCGTTGTCTGTCAGCTGTTAAGGTACAGCCATAACCAAAAGTTGGAAGACTATTCGCATTCAAGTACACCCTTACCGACCCCACGCACCTCACAAGGAGAGATAAGATTTTAACATTTTCACTAATCTCTTGGCAGAGTGCTACTTGTTATGAATTTCAGACGTGCAGTATTAGCCACATTTGCCGAAAGTCAAAGTCTGTCAATCTGTCCAGTGATGCGTGCGCGGTTTTTCATTTCCATTCATTCATTCATAGCCCTAGCCTCGTGCGGACCTTCTCTCCTCGATCAATGCCGCTCTTGTTGGATAAAACAGAGCGGCAGATTGCAATTCGGAGCGGACATGCCCATGGCGGCACGGATGGCGCTTTTGCTCGGACTTGTCTGTTTCATGAAGTCCACGTCATGAGGAGTGACGTCATGTGACACATTTACGTCACTGTTTTTTCCCACCCCTCCTCTTACCAAACGGCCCAACGCTTGCTTGCCCTGCCCTCAGCTCTGCCACGGTGACGCATCCGCCCTCAGACGCACATATCGCGCCCCACTCTCATCTTATTCGTCATCTGGTGAGTAGTGTTGCTGTTGCTGGCCATTGCTGGGGTTCATGATTAAATTGCTGCTCAGTCGTGTTGCGTCCGCAGTACTTGGTGGTTCGTCGGACGTTGACGATATCTCCCATTCCCCTCGTTATCAGCAGGTAGTGACATGAAGCCTATGGTGGACTCATTTCACTGTAGCTAACCAAGAGCTAACTTTATTGCAGTTTTTATTTTGTCTTATTCTTGGGTTTGTTCTTTTCAAGATGTATCAATCATCTACGATGCTTGTTGTTTACTCTTTCAAAAGTTCTCGTTCCCCTTCTTTGATTTTACTTGGGTCATTGACATGTGATGACACCTATTTCGGAAGGTGTCGCATGCCGAATGCTTATGTGTTACTGTTTTACTTGGCTCACTGAGCTGTTGCTATTGTTTCAGTTTGACTTCAAAGAATTTCTCTCATCATGAGTTATCCAGGATATCCAGGACATGTAAGTATGTAGGTTTGTCTGGTCTTTTTGCTGTTTTCGTGAGACCTCACATAGTACATATTAACAGATAGCCAAAAGCATGTTTATTTTAATAAGTTTGTCTTTAAACGTGTTAAAACAACCTTTAAAATTTGAAATTTTTACTTCTTAAACAAAACACCCTTATTAACATTAATATGCTTGAAGAAAGTAATCCAGTGTTACAGTAACACTTTTTCCTTGACGTTTTATTATTATAATGTAATACCTTCAGTAAACTAAAAACAACTTCTAGAGAAAATTGTAAATGTCGATATTTTTGTTTGTTTTCCTTTCAAAGGGTGGTGCTGCGCCTACCTATCCTCCTTATCCCAACTCCCCATCTGCAATGCCTCAGCCTGGTGGTTATCCAAGCCAGACACCCTACGCAGTAACTCCTGCACATCTATCTTACCCACCAAGTGCAAGTCCGTATCCCCCTGGCCCCAGCCCCTACCCGCCAGCCCCAATCGCATATCCGCAAGGCAATAGTCCTTACCCACCAGGCCCTGGTGCACATCCGCAAGGTAATAGTCCCTACCCACCAGGCCCTGGCGCATATCTGCAAGGCAATAGTCCCTACCCTCCAGGCCCTGGTGCAAATCTGCACGGCAATAGTCCTTACCCACCACCCCTAGGTGCACATCCGCAAGGTAATAGTCCCTACCCACCAGGCCCTGGCGCACACCTACAAGGCCATAGTCCTTACCCACCTGTTCCCGGCGCTAGTCCATACCCCTCCTCAGGTCCTCCACATGGGCATCACTCCCAGTCTGCTTATGGCGCCCCTCAGCATGGAATGTCTTACCCTCATGGCTCAGTGCCCAGCGCCACACCATTATATGGTGGTCCTAGTTCAATCAACTATGTTAGAAAGGTAAGATTACCTTTCAAGACAATAATAATCTTGTATTAATGAAGTAATGCGACTCTTTTTGCTTACATAAATGGATTGGCTGCTTGTTGCATTCTGAGGGGTATATTCTGAGCTGTGTGGTACATGCAGAATTTTTCAGGAGGCTCTGAGGAGGTTTAGCAAGTTATGAGGGACGCTGTGTAACATTTTTAATGTTTTTCTATCCTCTAGGGAAATGCTACTGTCCAGCCGGTTCAGCCCTTCGATCCAAGAGGAGATGCAGAAGTGTTGCGAAAGGCTATGAAAGGTTTGGGCACTGACGAAAAGGCCATTATTAATGTTTTGGCTCGCAGAAGTAATCAACAACGCCTAGATATTGCTCTTCAATTCAAAACCTTGTTTGGGAAGGTAATTATTCTAGGAAATGTTAGGGTGTAATTATTCCATAAACATCAATTTTATTTTAGTTCTGTCTTCATGATTTTTTAGGATTTGGTTTCGGATTTAAAAAGTGAGCTCTCTGGTAAATTTGAGGACCTTGTGGTTGCTCTCATGAAACCTCATTCCGAGTTCATTGCCAAGGAAGTACATGATGCCCTAGCAGGAATTGGAACTGATGAAGAAACTGTTATTGAAGTTGTTTGTTCATCCACCAACCAGGAAATTCATGCCATCAAAAATACTTATCAGCAAAGTAAGATTTGTTTGCTGATTTTTTAAAACCTTGATTTGTTTTAGTAGTTTAGAAAAATTAATTGAGTTTTGTATTGTAGTGTACCACCGTTCATTGGAGCAGGACTTGAAAGGAGATACATCGGGCAATTTCAAGCGACTAATGGTGTCCCTGTGTGTTGTAAGTAACCTTAGTTTTGTTACTTTTTCCCCCCATGATTGTCATCCATCTGATGTATCATTTTTCTTTTACCAGGGCAACCGCAGTGAGGATTACAATGTGGACCCAGGTCTTGTCCAAGCTGATGCCCAGGCTTTACTTCGTGCTGGTATGTAGATAGGAGAATGTTAAAAAGTGAAATAAAATCACTTTACCTTGCTTTATATTTTATTTTTGTTGGCTTCCTACATCTGCATAGGTGAACTGAGAGTTGGTACGGATGAATCAACTTTCAATGCAGTGCTGTGTCAACGCAGTTTTGCACACCTGCAGGCTGTTATTAATGAGTACCAGCGGCTCACTGGACATAGCCTTGAAAAAGCTATCAAAAAGGAGTTCTCAGGTGACATTGAAGATGGATTGCTCGCAATCGGTAAGTGTCACATTTATCATATCTATATGTATCCATGAATTAAATTAGCAAATATATTAAGACTGAAAACAATTCTTTGCAGTGAGATCTGCTCAGAACCGCCCAGGGTATTTTGCTGAACGTCTGTATAAAAGCATGAAAGGTCTGGGTACAGACGACAGGGCTCTTATTCGCTTGGTAGTGAGCCGCTGTGAAGTCGATATGGGTGACATCAAACAGGCATTTGAAGCTAAATACGGGAAGTCCCTTGCAAGCTTTATTGAAGTGAGTAGAGGTCTCGTCAAAAAAATTTACACTTTTTACTGAAGGTATTAAAACTAATTGTTATTTTCTTTGTTCAATTCTCAGGGAGATTGCTCTGGACATTATAAGAAATGTTTGCTAGCCCTTATTGGAGAATATTAATGATTAAGAGGTCTGATTATTCCCCACCTCTCTCTATTTCTCTTTCTTTACGTTTTCAGAAGAAACAAGACTTTTGTCTTTTCCTTCCAAGAATCTTATTTTGTCCTTCAAGAACAAAATTTTGATACTTGAACATTTTTTACAGATGTTTTTGCTAATCTTTACAGCAATTTTTTTCTCTTTTTGATGCTATTTTCATTTATGTCAATGTATTAAAAGTTGCTTTATCTGTGAGGCCAAAATACTAGCATGCGAATGCTGTAATTTTTTTTTTTTTTTGGTATGACATCATTTTAGTGGTAGGTTACCTACTTATGACTTACTTTTGGTACAAACTTGACCTTTGTATTCTGTAATTTTTATCTCTCTTTGAACAACTTCTTGCTTTGATTGTTTCCATTGCTACTTCAAGTATTACCTATCTTAAAATTGTTATGTATTCCTAATACTCATATGTGTTTATTTCTCTTTTAAAACATCCATAAATCTTGTTTTATTTCAATTTCCTTTTCATTGTAGAAGTTTTGGATTAATGTTTCTATTTTTGAAAGTGTGCCCATTTCCCTCTAGTTTTATTTCACCCTCTTCTTTGCACCATGTTACATTTTGGTAGCACTTTTTTTATTGTATGTTATTGCACTTTTGTTGTCAATTCCATTTGTTTGTTTGTGATATTTGCAATCCTGCAAAGCTATTTAGCATGTCTAATTAATATGTATCTAATGTGAAGAAGTATGCCAAGAGACTTCGGTTTACCTACCTGGTGTTTTTGTCCTAAAATTGTTCATACCTTCTTGAAGTGAGGCACGGCGTGCCTTCGCAAAACAGTTGTCAGTCTATTTTTCTGTTTTGACTGCTTTTGCCAAAGCCTTGACACGATCTGTGATGTTTCAAACATGTGTGCCTTAACTCTTGTTGCTAATTAGTCTTGTGAGAATTCTTTTGTGTCAATGAACAAATATGCTCAATGTTCCATGAG